AATATCACTTAAAAGTAGTAGATAAATAATATTACTTGTTTCTTAATTCTTAATAGTTATTAAATTATTACTTAATAGTTAAATATTACTTATTTAACTTACTCAAAATTTAAATATCACTTATTACTTAAAAGTAGTAGGTAAATAATATTACTTGTTTATTAATTCTTATTATTACTTAATAGTTAAATATCTCTTATTACTTAAAAGTAGTAGGTAAATAATATTACTTGTTTCTCAATTCTTATTATCACTTAATAGTTAAATATTACTTATTATAATATATTATATTTAAATATCACTTATTTAACTTACTCAAAATATAAATATCACTTAAAAGTAGTAGATAAATAATATTACTTGTGTCTTAATTCTTATTATTACTTAGTAATTAAATATCACTTAATAGTTAAATATTACTTATTACTCAGAAGTTAAATATCACTTACTACTTAAAAGTAGTAGGTAAATAATATTACTTGTTTCTTAATTCTTATTATTACTTAATATTTAAATATTACTTATTTAACTTACCCAAAAGTTAAATATTACTTATTACCTAAAAGTAGTAAGTAAATAATATTACTTATTACTCGAACAAATAATATTCGCCAAAAGTTTTAGAGATAAAAGTGTTGGTAGATTGGATCGAATAAAAGATAAAAAAATACCGCAGATATTTTATACTAAAGAGTAAAAAAAAAAAAAAAAAAAAAAAAAATGTCTTTTCCAGATCTAAATGTGTTCCATAGCGATGCCAGCTGAGCTGCTTCTGGGGCATAGCCCTCCAGTGTACAGCTCGTTGCTGTACAGTCCCTTAGTGGTAACAGCGCCGACGATTACTAGCAGATCGGTGCCACCCAGAATAAGGCCGTGCTTGTCATCCGGTTCCTTGGCTATAGATAGCATTCGAAACAGCAGCGATGGCGGGAGTAATAAGCAGAAAAAAAGGGTTGTATTCGCCGACGATCGCGGCCGTCCTCTCACTCAGGTAAATCCTTAATACACTTAGAGTCTCTGGCTAATTGTGAAAGGAAATAAAATGACGCCTCTGCCTGCGGTGCAGGTTTTATTCGACTGACTTTCTATTTGAACTTTCCCGTGAAGACTTTGTCTGTCTTTTTTTTCTTTTTGTTATCTTAATTTTCCAATTTTTTTTTTTTTTTCTTACT